TACTTATTCTACTGAGCCATCTCCCCAGCCCCATAAATCACTAACACTGTGGTCCTAACCCCTCTGGTTTTGTCACTCTATAGAGAGAAGTTTGTTTTAAGACTTTGAAAAGAGAGACTTTAATTGTAAAAAAAAATTGCTCAAATCAGGTATCTATTTCACCTCTGATCAGAAAAAAGAAACAGGCCTTCTTGTCGAAGAGCCTGATCAGGGAGCCCGCTTCCTCCAGGTTCCATGTAACTGAGAGATTTTTAAATTACTTTCTCGTCCACTTGTTCCTGTCTGCCATTGCTGAATGGCTATTACAGATTATTAACTAAGTGAGGTTTACAATTTTAAAGCCTGATTTAATCAAATTTATGGAACTTTTGCCCTCTACTCATAATTCCAAAAGCTTTAATAAAAAATGTACTAAGATGTGCTTCCAATTTTTATTTATTTAGCTTCCATTTACAGCAAAGGTAGGGCAGGGAGTCCCTTTTTATTTCATTAAGCTTTTTGGCACTGTTTACTCTTTAAAACTAAGCACGTATTACTTTTAAAAATTAATCGAGTGAAGGTGTATACCTAGAACTTGAAACATTCAGAAAAGTAAAATGAAGGTAAAATTGGGATCCCATTGAAGAATAGTCATTATTAAAATTCAGATGCATTTTGTCTACCTATTCTGTTTTAATGCTTATTGAGTAACACACACACACACACACACACACACACACACACACTCACACACACACACACTCTCATTCCCTATTGTGTGGTCACTCAACATAATAAAAACATTTCCAAGATTAAAATATTTTTAGAAATAGTTGTGGGTCACATGTGTTCTATGCCATGCACATGTTAATGCTATAGACAACAGAGGAACATCAGAAAAAGAACTTTCCTTTCCTGGCACATGGGATCCTGGTAAGCCCGGGTGGGCAACATTTCTGCTTCCTGTGAGGGCTCAGACAGGAAGGAAGGGCTGCTTGGAGAGGGCCACAGGCTCTCATGTCCCCTACAGCTGTGGGACGTTGGGTGCAATGGCACTAAGATGTGCTGGGTTTGCAGTTTATATCATCTTAGAGGTTCTCCTTAAGGAAAGGATGAAATCTTCATTCTTGAAAATGTTACCAAAACATGTGGCCCTCCAAGCAAATCATGAGGTCCTCTGGGCCCTGTGGTAAGGGGCCCAGTGGTAAGGGGCCCTGTGGTTTAGGGATCACCCGCTACAAGCTTACATCTGCCCTCCTGAAAGACTTAAATTATCTGCATCTATAAAATGGGCCTTACAAAAGTAATTTCCTCATCTTAATCATGAGGATTAAGCAAGATGGTCTTTTGTAAACCATCTGGGTCACTGCCTGGTGCATACTAAGTGCGTAATAGATACTACCTGTGAATATTCAAGTTACTTCAAATCATGTCCTTGCGGCTGGAGTCATTTGAGCTCTTTCCTAGAGACTGAGTTATTCATACTTATACTTAAGAAAATTATACCTTTGTGGCTTTTTGGTTTGGCTCATTCATTCACTTAATACATTATTTATTTAAGTTTATTTACTTATTTATTTGACAGGGTTTTGCTATGCAGTTCAGGCTGGCCTTGAACTCCCTATGTAGCCCAGGCTGGCTTCCAGCGTGCTGCGATTCTTCTGCCTTTGCCTCCTGTGTGCTTGATTACAGGCATGTTCCACTGCACCCTGGGTACTAGTTTAGTTTTAGTAAACTAGTTTCCACTGGGTGTCACCCACTGTGCTGGGTACTAGTTTGAGTTAATTCTCAGACCTCAGGCATTGCAAGGACAGCCCAGGCATCCCCTCCGGGAGTGTTCACAGGAAACCAGGCAGGCTCTTTGCTTGGGCACCTGTCACGTGATGGGTTTTGGCCATGGACCAGGGCTCAAGGGGAAGATCACCCGCTTCTGCTACCTTGGTCATTTCTGTATCACAGGTTTTTTTCTCTTGATGCATAATAGTAAACAAGCTGGCTAAAAGTGTGTATGTTTTCACAAGAGGATCTACTTTCTTTTGCCAGCTAGTTTACAGAATTAAGCAAGATGTACATAAAATACTATAGTCTGAGGCCTCTGGAAGCACACACAATGTTTCTTATTGTTAATTGTACTTGTTTTTGTGAGCTAATGCTACCTTTTCTCATTTATGACAGCTGAAATTCTCTATTCTACTAGCATATAAAACTTTGCAAGCTTTTTTTCCCTGTGCTAATAAAATAAAATAGTCCAGCTACATTGAGACATCCTCAGGGAGTTTGTCTCGTATCAGGAAAAGTAGTTAAACTCAGGGTCCTACAGGAGCCTGGGAAATTTTAACCAGAAACTCTGGGGTTGGGTTGTATTATCTATTTAAAAACAAAATTGAGCTTTCCAAGTTTCATAATGTCTTGACTTATTCAAGCCACTAATTGAGAATTGAAATGTAAGGGCTGTTACTTTTATAGAAGCACTCATGTGACTCCAAACACTCTGACCAGTCAGTAGACTGGAAAGAAGCAAAGAAAGCCAGTGCTGTGGGTGAAGCCACGATGTCGGCCCGTGAGTGGTCTCTGGCTAGCACCAGGCATCTTTCTGGAACTGTCCTAAGAGATGGATAGGGAGTTGATACTAGCCTCTAAGCAGATTTGTTAGATATCCTGTGACACTTGTCACCCACTATACTCTCAGGAGGGCCTGCAGAACACCAGGTTGGCCTTTGCATAGATTTTACTGGCGTGGTCTGGTTCTCGTTCCAGGGCCACCATGTGTGGCCCTGCAGTATTGGCAGGCTTGCATGAATTCCCAGGGTCAAATGCAGCTTATCTTCCATGTCGGTCAAGACCAATGGTTACACTGACTGCCTGCAACAACAGGCAAGCACAATTCCCGCTCCACTACCCAGTAGGGGAAAATAATAACATTAAAACTCCACTTTGGTGAAGTGTGGTGTCCAGAGAATGCAGGGATTCTCTGAGAATCTGGTCCTTCACAGTGGACAGACTGCAGGATTAACCCACCTGCAATCCTATCAGGGCAGATCCGTGGGGAAGGAGTTGAAGCAGGTCTGAAAAGGGTGGCTAACCACTCTAGCAGAAGTAGTGTGTGTGGCCACGTCTGCACACCCTCTCCTAGGACCTATGCACCTCATCAGTGGGGTAGGAAATCTTAAGGGTACCTTGATCAGGTTTATTAAAAAAGAAGTCTCAGTGAGCCCCAAACTGGAGGTTGCTAGATTCCTAAAAACAGATCACAGAGGTCAGAAAACCAGCCTCCTCCGATATTCTTTTCCGGGCCTCGTCTACACTTGCAGGCCACCGCCCTTATCTCATCCTCCATTCCCCATTTCATCCACAAATTAATGGGACTCAGAATCCTTAAATCGGATCAAAAAATACAGTCACTCTCTTTCGGTGCTCTAGCTGGTGGCTTTCACAAGGGACTTGGCACCATCTCCCACCTGCCAGTCCACCACCCCCATCAACATTCTCTTTCAAGAACGACAAGAGCAGATGACGTACATATCCTGAGGAAATAACCAGTGTTAAGGAGCTTCTGAGTCTCACTTCCCCAAGGAAATAATCAGCACCTCCTCCCCAAGACAGCTCCAGGCTAGCTTTGGGACAGGGTCCCCTCCACTCCAGAAGGTGCCAGGCGTCTGCGGAACTCTGCCGAGGTCACAGCCTCAGTGTGCACCCCAACTATTCCAGCTAATCCTCAGAATACCCCGGCAGCGGGCAGGGCATTTATTGTTTTTCGTTCTACAGAACACACGAGGGGTCTAGCCATCACGCAGAGCCCTCGGGTAACACCTGCTTACGACCTCCGGCTCGTCCCGGGGTCTCCACGTCCCGTGGGAGAACCACCGCGATCTCCGCGACTCGCAGGGAAGCCGCCGTGTGGGACTAACCGGGAGGGTCGGTCCCGGAACAAAGGAGTGGAGCGCGCAGAACCTCGCAGCGAGCGCGCAGGGAGGCGCTCACAAGCCCACGGCCGCCCCGCCCTCCGGGCCGCGGGTGGCGCTTGCTTTCTGAGACGATCTCTACCAGGGCCGGGAGGGGGCGCAGCGCTCCGGCCCCGCCCGAGGAACGCACAAAGAGCGGCCCGGCTGCCTCCGGGAGCACTGCGCATGCCCGGCCGCGGGGCTGGGAGGGGCGCGGGCCCGCGCGCACGCCTGCGCCCTCCCCCCCAGCCGCCCCCCCTTCCGCTGGCGCGCTGGCCGGCGTTCCCGCGGCGCTCGTGCGCGTGTCCCAGCCCGCAGGGTCGCGGCCCTGGCGCCCGGCGAGTGCCGGACCCCGGTGCCCTGAGTTCCCTGGGCCTCCAGAGGCCTGGCAGACCTGGATCGCGCCACAGCCGGCCTCTGGCTTTGGGATCCGCATCTCCAAGGCCAGCTGGGCCAAGTGTCGCCCGAGGGGACAGAAATGCGGGCGCGGGCGCGCGCGCGGGCAGTGGCGTGGGCGGACTGAGCCTTTGTCTCGTGCCAGTTCGCTCCGGAGCCGCTGCGCCTGTGCGCCTCTGGGCAGCGAGTCGTTTCCGTGTCCCGGGACTGGGCCGCCTTTCGGGTGGGTGACAGGCCTCCTAGTGGCAGCTGCACTGATGGTTTATTTGGGGGCACTAACGGGACTTCCTAAGCACCACTCTTTTGGGGTCAGTCCGTTGCCCTCCGAGTTGGGCGCGTTTCTTTTTTTTCTAACGGGCGAAAAGGAAGGCTTGGAGACCGCGACTGTCCCCGGCGGATAGGTGCATATGAACGTCCCGCGCCTGCCTATCCCGCATCAGACAACAAAGAGAGGCGACCGCGGCGGCGGGGGGAGGGGCAGGGAAGGGGCGGGCGCGGGGGGGCTCTCTCTCCTCGCTCAGCCCGCGGCCTCCGCCCGCCCCCGGCCTGGCGCGCGCCAATCGCCTCCCCCAGCGATAGTGTCAGTAGCATTGTAGTGTCAGCTCCCGCCGGTGACGTTGCGCCTCCTCGTCCCCCTCCGGAGCCGTCTGGCTGCAGAGCTCAGTCCAGAGGCGGGCGGGAGAGGAGGCGAGGCGAGGCGTGCAGCGAGGGCGGGCGCAGTGCCGGAGCCGGGGAGGGGCTCCTTCAAGAAACGCCGCTGCCGCTCGCCTGCTCGCTGGGCGCTGGCATTGTGGCCACCAGCCGGGCGCTCGGGGCCACGCGCGGCCACCGCTCCAGCTCTGCGCCCACCCGGACTGCCAGCAGACCTGGGCGGGGACCCCAGCGGGGCTCCTGCAGCCGCTGCCCGGTGCGCACGGCTAGCGCCCGGAGAGGACCACGGCGCCCTCGGCGACTGGCCGGCCTTCCCGCCCCTAACCGCCCGCGTCCCGGCCGCCTTTGTGCCGGCACCTCGCTCCGCCCGGGGAGCCGAGGGTCGGCGGGGGCGCGGCGCGCACGGCCGCGCGATGCCCAGCTCGCTGTTCGCAGACCTGGAGCGCAACGGCGGCGGCGGAGGCGGCGGCGGCGGCGGCGGCGGCGGCGGCGGCGGCGGCGGCGGCGGCGGCGGCGGCGGCGGCGGGGGTGAGACCCTGGACGACCAGCGAGCTCTGCAGCTTGCTCTCGACCAGCTCTCCCTGCTGGGTCTGGACAGCGACGAGGGCGCGTCTCTGTACGACAGCGAGCCGCGAAAGAAGAGCGTGAACATGACCGAATGCGTGCCTGTGCCTAGCTCTGAGCACGTCGCGGAGATCGTGGGGCGGCAAGGTGGGTCAGGCGGGAAGGGGAGCGGGGATGCGCGGGTCGCTGTCCGAGGCGCAGGGGCCCTGGGAAGGAGGAGGAGGCGCGCTAGGGCCGGAGCCCCAGACAAAGAAAGTGCAGGCAAGCTGCCTCCCAGAGCCGCGCGGCCGCCACGCAGGACGCACTCCCTTCTGCCGGGACCACAGACTTCTCCCCAGGCGCCCCCCACTCAGCCCACCTGGGGAACGGTGATTTAAATAGGAGATGCTGGGGGGGAGGGAGCCTTTGATCAGTCTTTTGGGAGGGCGCAGGAGGAGGAGTGAGCATCGAGGGGAGGAGGATTCTGGATTTCTGCAAAGCGGAATGGAGCGAAGCGCAGTAACAATGGGTCCTGGGACTGCGCCCCCCTCCTAGCCCCCCGCGCTTCAGGATCCTGGCTGGGGTCGCCTCCCCAAGTTCTACTCAGGGTGTTGCTGGCTGCTGGTGCACCTGGCCGGGTCCCACCGGCATCTCCGGGTTGACTTTTCTAGGATTCTCGGGCTTGGCTTGGGACGACTGCAGTCCCCGGGGGAGGACCCGGCAGCCAATGGTCTGTTCCTCGAGCGCCTCGCGGGTGGAACCCGCCGCCCAGCGGTGGAGCGGCCGCTGTCGGCGAGGAGACGCCCCCTTTCCTCGCGTCGCGCGGCTTGCGGTCCCGGTATCCGAGGTTACACGGGATAATGGGCGTGTCTCTTTTCCATTCCCTTCCTTGGTTCTCAGGTTGTAAAATCAAAGCGCTGCGGGCCAAGACCAACACTTATATCAAGACCCCAGTGCGCGGGGAGGAGCCTGTCTTTGTTGTGACGGGCAGGAAGGAAGATGTGGCAATGGCTCGGAGGGAGATCATCTCTGCGGCGGAGCACTTCTCCATGATCCGCGCCTCGCGGAATAAGAACACTGCGCTCAACGGCGCAGTGCCTGGGCCGCCCAACCTGCCGGGGCAGACCACCATCCAGGTGCGGGTGCCCTACCGCGTGGTGGGGCTTGTAGTGGGGCCCAAGGGCGCCACGATCAAGCGCATCCAGCAGCAGACGCATACGTACATCGTGACACCCAGTCGAGACAAGGAGCCAGTGTTCGAGGTGACAGGCATGCCAGAGAACGTGGACCGCGCGCGGGAGGAGATCGAGGCACACATCGCCCTGCGCACGGGCGGCATTGTCGAGCTAACCGACGAGAACGACTTCCACGCTAACGGCACCGATGTGGGCTTCGACCTGCACCACGGGTCCGGCGGGTCCGGCCCGGGCAGCCTCTGGAGCAAGCCCACCCCTAGTATCACGCCCACTCCAGGCCGCAAGCCCTTCTCTAGCTACCGCAACGACAGCTCCAGCTCGCTGGGCAGCGCATCCACAGACTCTTATTTCGGTGGGGGGACCGGCGGCAGCGCGACCGCCACCCCACGCCTGGCGGACTACAGCCCTCCCAGCCCTGCACTCAGCTTCGCGCACAATGGGAACAACAACAACAATGGCAATGGGTACGCGTACCCAGCGGGGGACGCCCCGGCGCCGTCCCCCGAGGGCTGCCCGGAGCTGCAGCCAACCTTCGACCCGGCGCCCGCGCCCCCGCCTGGCGCGCCCCTTCTCTGGGCGCAGTTCGAGCGGTCCCCCGGAGGCGGCCCGACAGCCCCGGTGTCCTCTTCCTGCTCCTCTGCGTCCTCGTCCGCCTCCTCGTCCTCTGTGGTCTTCCCCGGGGGTGGCGCCGGCGCGCCCTCCAATGCCAACCTGGGCCTCCTGGTGCACCGCCGGCTGCACCCGGGCGCCAGCTGCCAGCGCCTGTCGCCGCCCCTGCACATGGCCCCGGGGGCGGGCGAGCACCACTTGGCTCGCCGGGTGCGCAGCGACCCGGGTGGAGGCGGTTTGGCCTACGCCGCCTACGCCAATGGGCTAGGGGCACAGCTGCCCGGTCTGCAGTCCTCAGACACGTCGGGATCTTCTTCGTCTTCCAGCTCCTCCTCCAGCTCTTCCTCCTCTTCCTCTGGGCTGAGGCGCAAGGGCAGCCGCGACTGCTCAGTGTGCTTTGAGAGCGAAGTGATCGCCGCACTGGTGCCCTGTGGCCACAACCTCTTCTGCATGGAGTGCGCCAATCGCATCTGCGAGAAGAGCGAGCCCGAGTGCCCCGTCTGCCACGCCGCGGTCACGCAGGCCATCCGCATCTTTTCCTGAGGCTGCCGCGCCTGCGCGCTTTGAGCGCAGGGACCGAGTCCCCTCCTCTCTGGCCTGCTCCCTAGCGCCTGCCAGTGGGCCTCTGGGTGCCCTACCGCCCCCTCCTCACCTACCCCACACTCTGAGATCCGACAGGAGTTTGGGAAGCTGTAGTATCCGCTCATTTTTTTAAATGTAATTTTTGAAAGAAAGGAACTTGCCAGCATATCTGCATCGAGAGTACTGTAGCCTGGGAAATATGAACCACCCGAAATGCATGCTCTATAAATAATAGGAACGGCGACATTCTAGTGGTGATAGTTTTTACACTGTACTTGATAGGAAGCTTCCAAAAGAAGAGAACCCCACAAGTTTTCCATTTTCTTAAAGTAGGAAGAAGCGAACAATGATGTTGACGATAACGGAGAGGATGGTAATAGTGTTATGGCATGTGTGGACTCTCTCGCGTGTTCCCCTCCGTGAGTGGATCCCTCCGATGCTCACTGCGGAACACAAGTGCATCCTTGAATGTCCGTGGAAGGGCCAGGAGTTCCTGTGAAACCAGGATACTGCAGCTTTATTAAAGAAACTGTAACATATCTCTTATATATTAAAAACGTTTAAAAGTTTTAAAGAGAAATTGCATTAATACAGATTGAAGTATTTTATTCTTTTTTGACTTGAAAAATTATATTTCATATTGCAAAGATGTTTACAAGTATTTTAATTTAAGTTCAGTGAACTTTTTTGTAGCTGGGTTAAATCTTTTTATTTTAGTATGGCCTTATGGCAAAGAACACTGTATTATTTTAATAATCACACAATTGTGGCAGAATTACAAACCATAAAATGTGTAACGTTTTGAGCAGTATTCTGTTGGGATGGAGATTTTATAGGTTCAGACAAATCTTCTAAATCTGCTTCACCCAGCATATTTTCTATTCAGTGATATAAAGCATATTTTATTCTATATTATTACAAAAAACGGAAATGTATAAACATGTCAAAAGGAACTGTTGATGCTTTCTAACATTTGTATAAATAGAATTCAGTGCAAGTTACAAAAATTCTGTTGCACCACTATAGTTTTAGTATTTCTATTTTAATACATTTGTTTACCACTTGTTTATGTATATGTAGGTGATGTTACTTGAGCTTAAATGTACTTTACTGAGCAAAGTTTAAAACAAAGTATATTTTATTTTATGATAAAGGGCCTTTAACCTCATGGTCAAATACTAATATTATATTTGCTGAGACAAGATTTGAAATTGTATCAAGAGTTTTATTTTTCTGACATTTAAAGTTCTACATAATAAAGGTAAAACTTAAGTAATGGTGCTACTTCATTTTTTAAGTATTTCTATATAAATAAAAATATTGAAGAAAATCTATCTTGTGTGATTTGTGACTTGATTTCTTTTTTTAAAAAGCCCTGCAGAATCTCAGTATGTAAGGAATCGCTTTGAAGTGATAGATTGAAATATAGAACTTTCAGATGTACTATGTGAATTATCCACAGACTGGGCTGTCAACAGAGACTAAAAGTGTGTTTAATTTTGGGGGGCTGGTTGTGTAAAACTGTTTTACAAAAATTACAGTTATCTATTGGCTCATGCCTATGTGCAGTAGACATAGGAAAAACAGTGCCTAGGGGTCCCAAAAAACTTATGATTTCAAAATTAGAAGAAAATGAAAATATTTTAAGGGAAGATTTCAGTGGTCAACCCCTCAAACCAGTTAAATTCTGCCTAAAACATTGAAATAGTGAAGTATTTATTTATTTATTTATTTTTTTTTTTTTGGCGGAACCCGGATTGAAGGGTTTTGCCTTGCGCCTGCCAGGCAAGTGATTACTGAGCTATCTCCCTGGCCCCCAAAGTATTTAAAGTGATACCAAAAGTCAATTTCAATGTGGGTATAGTTGTTGAGGACAAGTCCACGAAGGTGGAAGTGCCTGGATAGGGCTCTGGAAAGTACCAGGCTGGGTCCCTGAGAGCGCAGGGTGCCTAAGGCCCTGTTTGTGCAGCAGAACTGTCCAATCCGCAGTGAGTTTCCATCCACGTGGCTTTCTGGGGCCAGCTGGGGCAGGAGGAGAGGAAGGCTCGCTGGACTGAGCACGAGGTCTTAATAGGCTCCCACTTGTGGGGCAGGCTAATTCATGTTGACAACCAGCGGTGTTAACTGTTTGTTGTTGTTGAAGGGAGTTTTTGTTTGCTTTAGGCAGGCTACACCTGTCCCTGGCTCTGGGGCTTTGTCAAGGGGAGGAGTCCAGAGCTCTCTCTCCCTTGACCTTTACTTTGTGTTCTAGAAAGTCCTTAGGAACATGGGCCCCTGCCCCCGAATTCCAGCAGACTTCCCACTGCGCAGCCCCTGGAGAAGAGCAGGTGACTCCTGAGAGCAGGCAGTAATGCATGCTGTAGTCCTTGCTCCACCTTGGTGCAGTTTTCTTTGTCGGGAAATGAGGTCCCTGTCGCTGGAGTTCTGATTTGGTGGATTTCGTGGACGCTCTGTAAAGGTAGCAGAGCTTTGGGGTCCACATTAGAGGAGGCAGTAGCCCTGCTTGGGGAATTCTGGCAGTGTCTTCTGCTCTGCCGAGTGCCGACAAGTGTTTACCCCACTCAGCCTGACCCCCCAGGAGGACTTGGGTAGGTGGTGGAGGAGGCTGATCCTGTCTTCGTTTCTGCTGCCTGGAAACACTGGAAAGTTGAACCACGATTCTCCCCTCGCTGTTGTTAGTTGTGTAACTCTGTTTTTTTGCTTTAGCAGAGTATTCCAGATAACATAAGAAAACATCAAAAGCTCTGATAGTTGGAGTTTCTATGCATCCCACACCCAACCCACTTCAACTTTAGGATTTTTTGGGGATCAATGGAATGCTTTGGCAAATGAAAAATCTAATTTTTTTTTTTTTTCTGGTACTAAGGGTGGAGCAAGGACCTTTACACTAAGCTGTAACTCCAGCTCTTTTAAAAGAATTTCTTTTGAGTCAGGAGCTTGCAGTCTCTTGGTTGCCTTGGCTGAGCTTGAAGTTGTGATCCTCCTGCCTCAGCTTCCAAGAGTGCTGGGATTGCAGGCATGTGCTACAACATCTAGCAAAATCTGATTTTTGACGTTGCTGACATCCTTGTAGGATGGCCTGTGCTTGTGCTATTAACAGTGAGAGGGTCTCTTCATTGCTATGAAATTTAGGGATATATTATTGGTATAAGTAGGCTCCTTAAAAGACAGACGGCAGCTAGGCCTCTTCACCAGCTGGGGATGTGGGGACACGCTAGAGATATGAGGCAGTATTCGCTTTGGTGCAAGTTAAGTCCCATGCCCCATCCCCCAGCTTCCCCAGGTAACTCCTAGGGAACACTAGCTGCAGAAGTGGCAGTCTTCCATTGAGAAAGATGAATGGAGTCACATGTGTGTTCCCCAGAAGCCAGGAGCCTCCCTTTCCATTTCTAGACCTCCCTGAGATCTCTGCAGCCACCAAAATACCAGCTAATGATTACTGTTACTGTCCCTGTTACTGTCCATATTTTATTTCTTTACGTAGAGTAATGCTTCCCAGACGTGGGTGGTCCTGTTATCTGCCCCCTTTCTCTTAGGTGATCTCCGGGACACTATAGTTTATTATATGCTGGAATGATGCCATCGGGTATGTCGAGGCCGGGGCTACCACTAACCAGCCCACAGCATACAGCCACTGTACCTTTCTTGACATTAATTCACTGCCTTGGAATTTGTGGTAATGCTTCAGTGCTTGAACTCCTCAAGTTTGGGGCTGAGTAGTGCTTTGGGGTTACCCACTCCCCAGTGTGACTTAGTATTTCAGGGTCATCTCAGGAAAGGAGGTCAAGCTGATATCAGGAGGACAAAAGCGCGGAGCGGTAGATGGCACCTAATTAATGCTGACAGTGCTTCCTAGGTAGTCCCAAGCCCTTTCCCCACAACCCTTCCACTGTCATCTGGCAGGCAGCACCGAAGTTCTACAGAGGCCCCCAGGTGACAAGTTGGGCTCTCCAGGCATAGCGGATGGCACTTTCTGTCTTGACAGGTTCCCTGCAGCCCCAAGACAAAACCCATGGAGAAGTTTCCAGTGTTCTCACCCTGGATATGGGCAGGTGGCCTCTCTGTTTCCCTACTTACTTGATCCTGTGTCCTACAAACACTGGCCCTCAGGGAAAGCTCTGATGCCTGCAGTGAGCTTTTGTCATTGATCTTGCCACGAAATATGAACACGCCACCCTTTCTCAGTGGGGCTCTAGCCTGCTAGCCATGTGATGGCTGTGGTCATGTCCAGCACTCCCTATGAGGCCACGTAGCTTAAGGAGATGCGGAGCTTTCATCAGCTACAGTAACTCTTTGTCACCATAACATGCCCGTGCCCATCGCAGTTAGGGAACCAGCGTTCTTCCAGCACTGAGCTCTGCCTCTTGCTCATCCTTTTTTTTCCCTCCAGACTCTGAGAACCTGGCCTCACCCCCTAGTGACGCCTAGTGTGCAGAAGACTCCCCCACCAGGGAGACCGACCAGCTTCCCAGGCAGGGCCAGAGGGGAGCATCGAGCAATCCTTATGTTGGCCCTGTGTGTGCCAGGATGACTTTGTAGCTGACTGAGCCCCTGACTCTGACTTGGCCACTGCGCTGTCCCAATCTGATGGGCTAGGTGGGAGAATGCACATGTCAAAGCTAAGGAAGCCGAGGTAGACACATTAAAGCATTTTCCCAAGACCACACAGCGAAGAAGCACCAGACCTCGGATTCCAGCCACAGGGCTACCCGAACCCACTGTTCCCATCTTCACCACTTCAGAAAAGTGGCTTTGAATGGGAGGCATTCCAGAAGCTGGGAGCACCCATTTGCCAAACAATGGCAAAGCCTGAGGGTGAAGTCTCTCTTAGAAATCAGTGATTGCGGCAACAGCCCAGGAGCCAGTGGCTGAAAAGATACCAGGCCACTTGAGGAGAGCCACAAACAACACCTGTGACACAGGGGTGCTCGGTGTCACTGATCATCAGGCCTTGACTTTTTTTATGACCATTTGAACAGCAGACATTAAGCCTATTCTATAATGTATTCTTATAGAAATAACCTTCAGCATTGGATGAGGATACAATGATGAGAAAATTCTCTTTTTTGGAAAAAGTTCCACAAGCATGACACATGAAATAACTCAGACAGTGACGAAAAGATGCCAAAACCCTGATTGAGAAAAAGAGCCTAATTGTTTTCACTTGTATTGATTTCATTTTCTAGGACATTTATGAGAATCTGGTTCTGGGCACCATGGAAAAGTGGCTCTGTGGGTCCTGCCCACCCCCGGAGTCTTTGGCACTGGTCAGCTGTAGCACCTGCGCCATGGGAGGGGCAGGGACAAAAGTGGCAGTTTGGTGGCTGAGCTTGCTCCTCTGCAGAAAGAAAAGGAGGTGGAGACTTGATCTGCAGTTCTGCAGGGACCTGACCTGCTTGGCCCTCGAGCTTGTGCAGCCCTTCTGTCTCCTTCCCAGCGGTGCCCACCAGGGCCTTTAGCTGTGTTTTCTCCCCACTGGACTGAAGCCTGGAGACCAGAAGTTCTCGTCCTGTCATCTCTTAGCACCCAACACACACCCTGGCTGATGGGGCTGGCATCTTCAACCTCCAGTTTTCAAGGC